GGGGGGGGGGGGGAGAAAGTGGAACCATTTGCAATGACTGCCATATAAAACCCCACCACACCTCAACCCAGGGTGACAAACAACAGAACATGGGGGAAGGGAGACAGCAGACAGTGTAATAATAATTTATAATTTATCAAGGTTTTGTGAGAGTGGGAGGGTGGGGGAGGAAGGGAAAAAAAGAGCTGATACCAAGGGCTCAAGTAGAAAGAAAATGTTTTGAAAAGGATGATGGCAAAATATGTACAAATGTGCTTGACACGATGGATGTATGCTTTGTTATAAGAGCTGTTAAGTGCCTCCAATAAAGTGAAAAAAATAAAAAAATGTATAGACCTAGACAGAAGATATGTTGAAAAACAACAGCTTCACATGTTTTATATTTTCGATGAATGATTCTATGATTTTGTAGCAATACTTTGACTTACCCTCCTGTATAAGCGAAGAGGCCCTGATGGTACAGTGGTTACAATATCTAGCTGTCAACTCAAAGGTCAGGGAGCTTGAACCCACCAACCACTTCCTGGGAGAAAGATGTGGCAGCCTTTACATAAGCCCAACTGCCATAGAAAGCCTACTGGGCAGTCCCACTCTGTCCTTCAGAGCCAACGTGAGTTGATATCAATTTGTCAGTAGTGGATTTTATATGGACACTTATGTCATCCTATTTCAAGGCTGGAGAAAGCCATACCACGGACGATCATGGGTTCTCAATCCCTATGGTGTAAGATTCTGTGGTTCAACTAACCAATATAACAGGGCCACTATCAAACTGTATCATTAACATCACATGCAAGTAAAATGTAAAAATTAAAAATGATTACAGCAGTCCATCCCAGGGAGTTGCCAGCAATTCAAACAGGGTCAGGACAGGATATGACACCAGGGATAACATTACTGCTGCCAGATGGATCTTGGCTGAAAGCAGAGAATAGTAGGAGGATATTTACTTGTATTTTATTGACAATGCAAAGGCATTTATATGAATCAAAGCAAACTATGGATAATATTGCAAAAAATAAATAAATTCAGAACATTTACTTGTGTGCATGTGAAACCTATCTACATAGAGCAAGAGGCAGGCATACAAACGGAAAAAGGATTTCTGTGTGGCTTAAAATCAGGAAAGGTGTGTGTCAGGGTTGCATCCTTTCACCACAAACGTACTCAATCCCTATGCAGAGCAAAGAACCCGAGAAGCTGGATTCTATGAAGCACAGTGCAGCATCAGGACTGCAGGAAGGCCTATCAACAACCTGCGATCTGCAGATGACACAGCCTGCATTGCTGAAAAGGAAAATCCAACACTGCATCCTTCAGTATGGATTACAACTCAATGTGAAGAAAATAAAAATCTTCAACACTGGACCAACAGACAATATGTCAATTGGAGAAAAGATTGGAGATGTCAAGAACTTCATCTTGCTTGAAACCACAATCGATACTCATGGAAGCAACAATCGAGAAATCAAGACATACTGCATCAGTCAAATGTGCTGTACAAGACCTCTTTAACGTGTTGAAGAGCAAGGATGTGACGTTGATGACTAAGGTGTTCCTGACCTAAGCCATGGTATTTCCAATGGCCTCACATGCAGGTGAAAGTTGGATAAGGAATAAGGAAGACTGCAGGACTGATGAAGCTGCATTATCATGTTGGCCAGGAATACTGAAAGCACGGTGGAGTGCCAGAAGAATAAACTAGTCTGTCTTGGAACTGCCAGAAGACTCCCTAGATTGAGGGTGGCCAGGCTTCTGATCATGTACTTTGGACATGTAATCAGCAGAGCCCAGTTCCTGGAAATGGACATCATGCTTTAGAGCAGTGGTTCTCAACCTTCCTAATGCCTCGACCCTTTAATACAGTTCCTCATGTTGTGGTGACCCCCAACTGTAAAATTATTTTTGTTGCTACTTCACAACTGTAATCTTGCTATACTTTTGTGAATCGTAATGTAAATATCTGATATGCAGGATGTATTAGGCGACCCCTGTGAAAGGTCATTCGACCCCCAAAGGGGTTGTGACCCACAGGTTGAGAAGCGCTTCTTTAGAGGGTCAGCAAAAAAAGAACAAGGCTCTCAATGAGATGGAGTGCCATGGAGGCTGCAGCAATGGGCTCCAATATAACGACTGCTGGGATCATGCACGACTGGGCTATTTCAGTTGTATTTGAGTTGGAACCGGCTAGACAGCACCTAACACTACCACCACCACCACCACCACCACCAAACCAACTAACACTTTGGAGATACTGGCAGGAAGAAGACTCTGGGAATGCTTTATCTCTTGCTCCTGGTCTCTAGTTCCAAACAGCTTTCCTTGATGACAAGGGCTGGAGAATGGTGTCAATGTTACTAGAGCAGAAGAAAATCCCATTGGCTTCTCGCATGCACTAGGGACTTCCCAACCAGTTGCAATGGAAGTTGTGATTGAGCTCCAGATGCAAATAGAAGATTCAATCCAACCAGATACATACATGAAGCTCAGGAAGTCATATCTGAGGAAGGGCGATCAGCAAGGTATTAAGATAACTAGCAAGAATTTGAGAAATTCAAGGTGAGATTTAAGTCCCAGAAAACAAAACCTTGAAAAGGAGAGAGCAGTAGATTCTATATAGTTACAGTGTAAACACACTTATAAAATTATTTAAAATTAATAAGAAACAACTTATGAGGGAACCAATAAGATAGGAAAATATGTTTTTAAATGTTACATACTTAAACTGTATTCTCTCCACATTTTGCAACAATAACAATAACCTATAAGTGGAATAGACTAACAGAACAGAATAAAGAATAGAATTATTCATCTACGAAGATTCCCATTATTATACTTTTCAAGTGATTGGAAAAATACATGCAGGTGTTGTTTTTTTTAAATCACTAAATTTGGAGGTGCTAAAACAAAGATTAAGGCTTTCCCCCTATTTTTAAATTGAACTCAAAATAGTCTATTTTTTTCTCTAAGAAGTTTCTATTTTTCCTGAAGTGATCTAAAAAATAAATATATTAGAGAAGGCGATTGAGTATAAAAAAGTTCTCCAAGTATTTTAAAAACCATGTTTTTTCCTTTAAGAACTATGTTATAAAGGTGTAAAGAAGCAGTTAATTACCATACATATTCGAGTATAAGCTGACCCGGATATCAGCTGAGGTACCTAATTTTACCACAAAAATGGCATGAGACATGTGCTGAAAAACTTGGCTTATCCATGAGTGTATACGGTAGGTGGCAGGACCACCTTGGGGTATTTCACAAAGGCAGGCCTGATAAGCATGGGTTGCCACCACGGAGGGCTTTTTCTGAATTAAGTGTACACACACTGGAGGTCACCGCAAGGGGAGGAATGGGGTCCCGGAGAATCAGATCTCAGATTCGGTCCGGGTGAAAATGTGCTCTCGTAGAGATCTACAGTTGCCGGCACCTTATACAGGGTGGCTATGAGGCACAACCAACTGGAGGGCAGTGGGATTTGGTTTGGTTTCATTTGGAAAAAGTAACCACCACTTGTGAACTCATGATATTTGTCTCAGAGAAGAAATGTGAAGTGCAAACAAACAAGTCCCGCTGCCTGTCAATCTCAGGTAACCGAGGACTGAGAAGCAGAGCTAGACGAGTGCTTACCTCACAGTATCACTGTGAGGATTAAATGCAGTGCAGGTCAAACGTGACAACATGCATAACGTTACTGAACCTGGACTCACATTTTAGATATTATAATAAAAAGGGCATGGTGTTAATTAAAAGTAACTCATCTGGGAGGTGGGACGCTGCAGTAAGACCCGAGTTACAAGCACTCAAGAATTACAAGCCTCTCTTAAGGAATCCTTTTTACTTACTTGTATTTTTACTTAAGCTTATCTATTCTTTTAGACTAAGAACTTCTCATTGCAACTTAATCATCCCATAGGTGGCATCAGAATTGCATAGGGCATTTATTAAAAATGCAAATCCCTGGTCTCACTCCAGAGTCAAATTTCTAGGAAGTGCCCCAAGTATGTGTTTTCTTAAAGGCTCCCCAGGGGATTCTGGTGGCAGCCAGGCCTGGAAACCTCTCTGCTAGAAAGCCCAATAGAGTAGACATGAAGGAGTAAGTAAACACTCTGGAGATGCTATTAAAAGGTGATTCTTCTAAGGTCAAAAGTGCTCCCCTTCTAGAAAAATAAGAGTGACTATCTCTGAACACAGTCATCCACAGACGCAGCCAAAATAGCCATTAGAATAGAGCTAACATCCATTAGTGACTATAACAGTATATTATCAGCTCAGTGAAACAAACAAATTAAAAAGTGGTTCCATATATTTCCCACCAGATCTACCCCATGAAACATCCTAATGGATTTAGCTGGTACTCTGCACTAACCGACTCAGCCAACCCACTGCCTTCTAGGCAATTCTGACTACAGCAAGGGACCCTACACAGGGTTCCTGAGACTTCACGTGAGCAGACAATCTTATTTTCTCCCACAGCGCAGCTGGTGGGTTTGAACTGCCAACCCCATGGTATGGGGTAATATCAATTGAGGCCTGGAAGACTCAATGAATTGGAAAACAAGACTACAGATTATGTAAAGGCAACACACCTGTATATACGATGTATATGCCTATGTGTGTGTGTGTCACCTTAGCTATAACAGTCACTTCACACCAGTCAATTTTGGGGCAAAATAAAAAAGCTCTTCATGCAATTCAAAGATGTACAACTCTTAGAGTGGCTGTGACAACTGACTGACTTAAAACTTCATTACTGGATAAGCCACTGCTTAGTAGGACGAGTAAGCAATCTAAATGGTAAGGTAGTATACGCATAAAACCATTACACTGTTAATAAGCATTTTGCTCTGTGAACATAATTATAATCATACTGGTCTAACTCTCGTTAACAAATGGTCCAGGACTCAATGACTCATCTATCTCTTCACATCTTTGCTTGCATTCGATCATAATATACCTTGGGGACAGAAAGAACGCATTCTCCCCTGAAAGGATGACTTCGAGATTATACTGCCAAGAAAGGAGAAACTGGCTAAATGACCACAAAGGGAAAATGTCAAAACCCAAAACCAACTACAGTGAACCCTCGCCACTTCGCGCTTCGACTTCCACGGCTTCACTCTATCGCGGTTTTTGCGTAACAGTGCATGCTCTGTCATTACTGCCACTGATTGACTCATACTGTACACGCTTGATGCCATAAATAATATAATAATAAATGATAATTGTAACGTCCAAAATGTTTTACTGTATTTTCCCTTTTTCGTTTAATAAATTGGGTAATACGAGTGTAATGGTGACTAAAGGGTGTTTTTTCATGTCCTCGATGCTCTAACTACGAAAATATTTGATTTACAAATAAGGAATCCTACTTCGCGGAATTTCATTTATCACGGTAGGGTCTAGAACTGATTAACCGCGATAAACGAGGGTTCACTGTATTGGTGTCAACGTAAACCATCACTCCAAAATAGCAGAGGCAGCATTGCCCCGACCTCCACGCAGAGCTGACCACAGAGCATGCACAGCAACAATGACCACCACACTGGACATTAAAGACTTTCCGCATGAGAAAATATTCTTGGTTTTCCTCTCAATTAACCAGTGTGACAGTGTGTTAGTGTCACATTTGCTTCTCTTCAATATTTTGTTAATATTTCAAACATCTCGTAATTTAAATATATCTTTGGCAGTGGCCACTTATATACTCACTGCGCTTAGACTCTACCATCAAAGTATCCTGCCTTTTTACAATACTTGTTCCATTGTGTACTCAGTCGTCATCAACCCATCTAATTTTAAAACATTCATTTCAAAGTAAATTGCAAGCAGCAGTACACTTTCTCTAAATAATTTAGCATACATTTTGTTAGCCAGACCTTAATACTTGTTGGGATATTTTGTGCAGTAAAATTAACAAA